AGAAAGTTTTTTTTTTTTTTTTTTTTTTTTTTGAAGTTGTGGGTAAATCACCAAACTAGAATTCTGGATTATTTCAATTATTTGGCTTTTCAGCATTGTGATGATTTTTGTTTATTCCCAAAGGAGAGATCTTCCAGGACAGCGCCCCAGTTTTTTTCTTTTTCTTCTTCAGAGAACAAGAAGAAGGGCCCAGTGCTCCAGTTTTGGCCATATATATCTGTGCCTAGACATTATTCTCAATGCTAGGCACAGATGTATATGGCCGTATTTTTGAAGCGCGTTCTCATAAATAGTGCAATTCCATTTGGGCTCGGGCAATCCGACAGGCGTTTAAGCCATGTATAGATTTGAGGAGGAGGAGGCGGTGGAGGGAGGAAGGAGGAGGAGGAGGAGGAGGAGGAGGGGAGAAAACGAGGGAAGAGGAGCGAGGAGGAGGAGGAGAAAGGAGGAGGAGGGAGGAAAGAAAGAGGAAGGAGGAGGAGGAAGGGAGGAGAGAAGGAAGGAGATGGGAGAAGAGGGGGACGGCAGAGGGATCCACGAGGAGGAGGAGAAAGACAGAGGAGGGATGGAGGAGGAGCAGAAGGGAGGACGGAGGACGGAGGAGGGAAGAAAACGAGGGAAGAGGAGCGAGGAAGAGGAGGAGAAAGGAGGAGAAGGGAGGAAAGAAAGAGGAAGGAGGAGGAGGAAGGAGGAGGAGGAAGGAGGAGGAGGAAGGGAGGAGAGAGGAGGAGGAGCAGGAGCAGGAGGAGGAAGAGGGAGGAGGAGGGGAGGAGGAGGACAGAGCGAGAAAGAAAGGAAGAAGTGATCAACGAAGGAAGAGCAAGAGGAGGAGGGAGGGAGGGAGGGAGGGAGGGAGCAGGAAGCAATCTAGAGGGGAGCAGGAGGGAGATAGGGAGGGAGCAGGAGGGAGGTAGGGAGGGAGGAGGAGGAGGAGGAGGAGGAGGAGGAGGAGGAGAGCAAAATCTGCCACGAATTAAAAAAAAAATTGATTTTCATTTTATCTGGTCCTTTTTCCCATCCAGAATCCCACGATGTGCGACTCTCCAACCAAACTGGAATCGACCAGATGCGACGTATCGATCACCGTGAACTTGGTACAAACAATTCTCAAACCATACTAGAAAAAATGACAGTCACTCAAAAAGAAAAAAGAAAAAAAAAAGAAAAAAAAACAGAAAAAAGAAAAAAAAAAGAAAAAGAAAAAAAAAAGAAAAAAAGAAAAAAGAAAAAGAAGAAAAAAAGAAAAGAAAAAAAAACGCATAA